TTAATTGCACACATTTTTTATTAGATCCAAATCATTTTTAAATTAAAAAATTGTATATTCTTCATTAATCTCTTTATATTCTTTGACATTATTCAAGTAACATTTTTTAACATTTTTGATTAAATTAATTTTATTCTAGATTGATTTCACATGATTTTTTTAGTATGTCATATATAATATCCAACTTCATATTCAAGACAAAGATTTTTTAAATAACAATTGATGCAATTTTCATTATTTGCTTCACATTCTTCATCATTAAAAAGAATTTGATCACCAAATTAGGATATAAATTTAGAGCTATTATTCAAATAATATCCTTAAACACATTTTTATTTTTATTTAAAATAATAGGAGGGTAGTTTAAATCTATTTTCATTTATATCATAATAAGCATATTCTTAATTGTCTTGACTCTTGCTTATTTGTAGTTAATCCATGTCCTTCTAAGCAAAGGTAATATGTTTAGAATTGCATATATTTTGTGTTATGTTCATATTTAATCCTATAATTGATAGATATTTCCCTAAGGCATAATCTTGCTCGTCTTATAACAAATAACATACTTCTTTGATACAACTAATACAAGTAACTATCATAAATAAGATTATCATCATCACATATCACAAGTTGTGCAAGATTCATAATATCTTGCTAAACAATTCTGACATCCTCTTTTAGGTAAGATATTTCCTGATTCACATACTTCATCAATTACATAATTTTATCTCCACTTCACATTTTTAATTCGATTATTAATAATATCCGTAACACAAGCTGAAGAATCACTTTCATGACAATATTCTATAAAAACCATTTAATATAATCCATCTAATAATATTTTTCAGGAGCATATCCTCTTTATTCACAATTTAAACATTTATTGATAGAATAATCACAAGATAAGCAACCAATTCGACAAAAATATCTACAATCTTTGCAGCCATCTAAGTCTGAAGTATTTAAATCTTTACATTGTTCATTTCCAACTACAAAAAATAAAAATTATCTCATTTATAATTTTTAATCTATTACTGTAAGGTATAGAGGCATTATATTTTATTATTCATCTTAAAGTTATAACATAATATAAAAATGTAATTATTCTTAAAATTTAATTGATTAGATTTCAAACGATCCTTTTAATAGCTATAACTATTATAATTTAATAATTGAAGGAAATATATTAAATATTTTTAATAATTTAATGATAATAATGATAAAACTAATAATACTTATATTAATCAGAATAGAATATTTACAATTATATTTTAAGCAAATAAGATTCTTATTATAAATATAACCAAAAATATTTCGATTCAAAATAAAATAAAATAACTCCCTCCATCTCGATCTGGCTGCAAGGAGCTCATTGCCTTAGGTCGAATGAAGTAATACCTAGAGTAAGAGGGAGAAGTAAGAACGAACAGGATGTAACCTGGTTTCTGTTTCGAACCCTGCCCATAAGCACCCACTTTGAAAAGGAGAAACGTAGTGAGAATAAGTGTGATTTCTTTATTTATTTGTGAGCTTCATGGTGAACTGTATGTCAAGGCATTATCATATAGGGTGGACAAAAGATGATCATCAAGACATAATCCGAAATGGACAATAGAAGCCTCCCTTGAGGTATTGGCTAATGAGGAGATTGGTAAGATGTATATATTTTTATTTTTTTTAATTTCAATTCAAATCTAAAAAAGCAAAATCCATAAGCTAATTTAACACATTACAAAATCACAAAACCAACACCTAGATGTTTTCCTCATGTAAAGTTTCCTTTAAATCTTAATATACCTATTCTCACCAATTCTAAATTTCAAAAGTAATTTTTAACTATTAAGAAAATTACCAGCCTCAAATTCATTTGCCTAGAGAAGTTAATTTTACTGAAAATTTTTATTTATTAAAAATTGTTTTTATTTTTTAAAAAGTTACTCAAATTCTATTAACTAATAATTAAAGCATATTTTATAGACTATATAATTCTTATTTTTAAACCCATGAATTAAATTTCTAAAAAGTAATCTTGCTCAAAGCATAATGGATTAGAATATGTTGCCTTAAATTTAAATCAAAAAGATATGCAAAATAAATATTTCTGTTTACAATGTTTAGCTGAGAATTAGAAACAAAAGACAATTTTAATCACTTAATCTTTAGATTAGATTGAAGAGATAAAGCTAAATTTAAAATAAGAAAGAAAAAAATAGTAAGATCGAAATGAGCAAATTGTAAAAGAGATGCTGGATAATGTATAAAATTTGAAAAACATTTATATTTAATAATTTGAAAAAATATCATGTACTTTAGAAAAATGGATATAAATGATTTAAAATTAGGAAGAAGAATTTATTAAGAAATTAGATTCTGCTGAAATTATTGATGTATAACAATTTATCATATTTGCTTAATAAGAAAATTCGTAAAAATTATCTTATGATCAAGAAATCAAATCTGAATTAAAAAATAAATTTATAGAATTAACAGAAAACAATTTAGTTAAAAATTGCATTGAAATTCTATCAAATATGGAATAAATAGCTAATAAATTTTAATCTAATGATAATGATGATGAAGATGTAAATATAGAAACTATTATATATATAGGAATTATATTTGGAGTGCGATTTACATAAGAATTAAAAGATAATATTATTAGATTTGGTTGAAAAGAGAGCTTTAGAAAAACGTATTGCTTGTTCTGAATGTGTTGATGAAATTCCTTCCAATTCATACAAATCTATTAAATTTGTAAAAGATAAATGGCAAAAAGTCTAAATAGAAAAATAAGAAAACATGAATAATAATACAAATATATTATAGCAAAAAGTAGATTAGATTATAGATTGTTTTGATTAGATTAAGTTAAACTATTAATTGATAATTGAAGGATTGTAAAAGAAAATTACATAAAATTTTGCTGAATATTTAGAGTAGGTAAGAGCTAAAAGTTTGATACTAAAATAAAATTGGACCAATCTTAAAAAATAATAAATATGTGAGATTGCAGAACAATTAAGTAAGAAAAATAAATCTAATTTAACTGAAGATCCTTTGATAAATTTATTTAAATAATAAAATAAATTTATAAACAAATCTGTTAAAGATACCCTATTAAATTTATAAGAATGTGAAATAATATAATTAAAAAAGATTAATTTTTCAAAAAATCCTCTTAGATTTAGTGAATTAGAAAAAATTGTAATTGATCAACTTGGTGAAGAAGAAATAGAAATGGACAGTGTTTAACAAAGAATAGAAACAGAGAATCCAAAATTAGGGATTAGTATAACATATAATTATTTATAATCACACTTACCCTATGAATTATAGAAAAATAAATCATTAAAGTAATATAATTGGTGTCATGCAATTGCTTTTAATTAAGATTGTTCTATAATGTTAGCAGGTTGTAATGAATAAATAAATATTTATAATTTTGATGGTTAAATTCGTAATTAAATTCAAGTTTTATCTGAGCATTCAGGTAGTGTAACATGTTTATAATTTATGAATATCACAAATTCATTTATATCAGCAAGTGCGGATTCAACAATTATATTATGGTTTGATAATCTCAATAATTTTTGGTTTTGTTAATAAAAGTTATAAGGGCATACTTACTAAATAAATTGTTTAATAATAAATAAAAATGATGATACTATTTTCTCATGTGGAGATGATTAGAAAATTGTAATCTGGAACAATGATATAAAATGGGAAGCTTCTTAATGTATTTTAGATCATACTTCTTCGGTTTATGGATTAAGTTTAAATGTATCTTAAAATAGATTAATATCTTGTGGATTTGATCATTTTATATTAGTTTTTGAATATTCAGAAAACCAAAATAAATGGAATTAAGTATAAAAAATATAAACTAATATTGGAGGGTACCGTTTAGGTTTTATTACAGATAATCTATTTACTTTTTAACCAATTAATTAAGATATTATGGAAGCTTATTCTATGGATTAAAATAATAAATATGTAAAGACTACTGCAATTGCAATAAAAAAAGGTTTTGATCAAAATTGTTTTTTTCCCTTATAGTATATTGAATCAAAATAAATAATTGTCAATAAGAGTGGATCAAATATCAATATTATAAAGATTCATGAAAGTGGTCAATTAACAGTTGAATAATTTATCCAATTTGAAACAAATTATATATTTGGTAAAGCAAGTGATAATGGGGAATATTTAGTTACCTGGGATTATATTACAAAAGAATTATAAGTCAGAAAATATTTGGAATGAATTCTAATCTAAATAAAAAGATTTATTAAAATTATATTATTTTATCTATTTTCTTTTCCTTTTTAATGTTTCTGATTACAAAAATCATTTTGTTTTAGATCATTTAAATATTTTTTATAATATCAATATTAATTAAACTTTAAAGTCTCTTCAAATATTAGACATTTATATATTTTTCTTTTATTAAATTTTAAAATGAAGGTATCAAAATACATAAGTTTATAATAATAGAAAAACCCTTCAAGTTTCAACTGTTATAATCATGCTTTGAATAATAGTTTTGGTATAAATATTCTTTTTCTTTTATTTTCTTCTAAACCTAGAAAAAGCTTAAGATTCTACTTATTCAAACTACTTATAAGAAGTTACATACTTTTCATAATGTTCTATGACGACTAAAATAGAGAATTTTCATTTAGTAATTCTTTGAATTTTGGCTATTAGAATCCGAAACCTTTTTTATTCTTAAATAATAAAAATATTTTGAATATTATTAAACTTACCTCTTACTCTTCCATAAGCTGAATAAATTTTAACATTATATTCTTTTAAAAATCTTAATCAATAAATTTTTTCTAATAGCTTTTTGTAAAATAGACCTCCCTGACTCCAAGAAAAATGAATATTTTGTTAATTTATTCAAAGTAATTAATCAATCAATAATAAACTAAATTAAGAGTTAAGCTAATTATAAATAATTACTTTAAGGACAAAATAATAGTAAACAAGTAAAGATGATTTAAAAGTTGATTTATATATTATTATTTTAAGTTTTCTAACCCTCATACTTTTCATATGGTAAATGAAAGACTAACTGTGCATTGTGCGTAAAGACTGATTATTTATGAAATTAGAAAAATTTTAATGGTTGATTATTTTTAGGATTTATACATAAATAGTAAAAAATAAAAGAATTCTCAATATAAGTAATAAAAATGTTTTTTAGTGTTATTAATTGAAAAGCTAACATTTATTTATTTTTTGTATATTTATATAAAAAATAATAATTACATTAATTTAATAAATTGATAGGACGAAATTGATATTTATTTTTTTCGTATACTTTTTTGTAATTTTTTTGAAATTTATAAAATTGTTTAATTTTGGTTTATTGATTAGACTAAATTAATATTTATTTTTTTTTGTATATTTATAAAAATAATAAGATTAACATTGTTGAATTTAATATAAAAATTAAAATATTTTTATTTTTTTTATATTTAATAAC